ACTGGTCCTATGGCTCAGAGAAGAAAGGTGTTTGGGGATCTGGGGAAGCTGGGGTGGGTGGGCATCGGGGTGAGGTGAGCAAGTGGGAATTGGGTACATAAGGGTCCCAAGTTGTTACGTTGAATGAGAAGGGGAGAACGTAGCTTTGTGCGTTTCCGTGGGGGGTCCTTAGATCGAGAACTGAAAGTGACCCTGCCCTCTTGTTTTTGTCTTCTTCAGCCAAGAAGAGAAAATCAGACAAGGTGAGAGCCGGGGCGAGCATGAGGGAAATTTGGGCGAAGGACAGATACCCTCCCCTTTGGGCAGGGAGTCCTCTGGTATCTTGACTCAAGTCTGAGGTCCATGGGGGGGTCTCTCTGGGTTTTGGGATGAGGGTGTCTGTGGTGGGCAGGAGGGCAGCGGAGGCCTTGGGGGAGTAGGGGAGGAGGGAATATGGGTAGGTGGGCCTCTTACTGGGGAGGAAGAGTAGGAATTTGAGGATGTTTCTTTGTCAAATCTTTTTTCCTTCCCTGGGTTCTCGGCTCCCCCTTATCGTTACCCTTTCCCCAAAGCTGTGGTATCTCCCATTCCAGAACCCCAATTCCCCTCGAAGATCCAAGTCTTTAAAACACAAAAATGGTAAGTGGGGCTTGAATGATGGGGGTGGTTCTGGCTGCGTCTGCTGGGACTCGTTGCTGGAGGGTGGAGGTGGGGGGCTGAGGGGGACAGGGGTATCGAGGGCGGGCCTGTGATCCTTCTGTCACCCCCACTTCCTCTCTGGTTATTTTCAGGGTTCTCTGTCTGTACCTCTGCATCAAACACCCTTCCCCTTCTTTTTTCTTCTTCAGGGGAACTTAGCAATTCGGATCCTTTTAAGGTGAGTAGGTGCTGCCCCTCTCAGGTTTTCTCTCGTTTTCCTTGCTGTGAGCTGGGTGGGATTTGGACAGGTGGGGACCAGAATACCGATGCTGGAAGCACTAGATGGGGTACTTCGCTCTTGCACATTTATGTTCTTGCTGGGTCCCAGCCCCTCCCCGACGCGCCGGTGGGATGGGCGGAATCGCTGGGAAACCGCTGGGCCGGTCGTAGGCCCTCCCACGTAGAGACAGATGAGAGGGACTGGTTCCCCCCCCACCCATCCGGCCCTTCCCCCCCCCCCCGGGGCTGCCTCTTGTCTGACCTGTACCTTTGGTTCTCCCCCAGTATAACAACTCGACTGGGATCAGCTACGAGACCCTGGGGCCGGACGAGCTGCGGAACCTGCTCACCACGGTGAGAGACCAGGGAGGGGGAGGCCCTTGGGAGTGGGCTGGAGCCACAGGCAGTGGTCACATCCCCGGAGGGGGCTGGTGACAGCGGTCAGGGCCACGTAGCTCGCTCTCTCTGGAATCAGGCTTCCTGGCCAGTGGTGGTCTGGGACTGTCCTGGACACCGTGGGGCCACTTCTGTTTGTGCGACGCAGCATTTGTACAGAAGAGAATATCTAGTGTTTAGAGTAGGCTTCCTCCGTCCCTCCTTTCAGCTTCTATTCCTCTTCCAGCAATGTGGGGTGATTTCTGAACACACCAAGAAGATGTGCACAAGGTGAGCTCAGAACCTAGAAAGGGGGCCAGGGGGCCGTGCTGCACACTTACCCTGGGCATGGGTCGGGGGTGCCCTTGGACTTGGGCAGTGGGGCTCCCACCCTTCCCCTCCCTCCTCGCGTGGTCAGGCCTTGGGCCACAATCTGGGGGCACTCTTTTTATCCCTTCCCTGTCTGAGTCCGTTCCTCCCACCTCTGCTGAGGAAAAGGGGCTTCACCTGAGGTCCTCAGACCCTTTCTTGCCTTGTCAGGCTCTGATTAATTCTCTCCCCACCAGGTCCCTGCGCTGCCCCCAGCACACAGATGAGCAGCGGCGAGCCGTGCGGATTTACTTCCTCGGACCCTCAGTGTAAGGGAGCCTCCAAGGAGGGTGGTGGGTTGTGGAAGATTAGGATGATGTGGGTAGCCCTCAAGCTCTTCTTTGACCCCCCCCCCTTTCCAGCGTCCTTCCAGAGGTCGAGAGTTCCCTGGATAATGACAGCTTTGACATGACTGACAGCCAGGCCCTGATCAGCCGGCTTCAGTGGGACGGCTCCTCTGATCTCTCACCCTCCGATTCAGGCTCCTCCAAGACGAGTGAGAATCAGGGATGGGGTCTAGGTAGGTGATACATCTGGGTCCCACGGGCTCTCTGCCCGAAGCCAGGGTTGTGGGGACACCTGTGTTCTCCTGACACAGCCCAACTCTCATCCCTGGTGCCTCTTTCTCTTCAGGTACCAACAGCTCTGAGTCTCGGAAAACCAAGAAAAAGAAATCCCATCTGAGCCTGGTAGGGACTGCCTCCAGCCTAGGCTCCAACAAGAAGAAGAAGCCAAAGCCACCGGCACCCCCGACGCCCAGCATCTACGATGACATCAACTGACTTGGGTGCAAGGGATAGCCTTTGGCTGAGCAGAGCCCTCTCTCCCAACCCCCACCCAGGTGGCAAAGCCTGGCAAATGGACGGCTGCTGGGGGTTTGGGCTTGGGAAGCTTGGTGGGCCAGGCAGGCAGAGGATCCAATTATGCACCCCTGGGGGGTGTCAGGGTCCTCTGCAATGGAGCACGACCCCTTGGCATGCAGGACTCAGACCTGGACATATTATGCCTTGGACATAAGTTTGGTGGGGAGGCGGTTTTCCTATTTATTCTGTGAGTTACTGGATGTCCAGCTAGGCCAGGGGCCTGACCTGGGCACTGTGCCAGGGCACTGCCTGCCCCCCACCCCAGGAACTGGACTAAGCCCTGCCGAGAAGCATCGTGGCTACCCGGGAGGCTGTGGGTTGGAAGCTGAGCCTGGAGGGGGCCTCCCCCAGCTGCCCTCAGCAATGTGAATGGGTCCGGTGCTTGGAGCTGAGGGGCAGGGCTGGGCGTGTCCTGTCTGTGTGCAGAATCCTATCAAATGCCCCCAATCCCAGGGGTAGGCAGGCACAGCAAACTGTCTGCTGAGGTGGGAGTCCAGAGCTGCCACCGCCTTCCCTGCCCCCCGATAGGGGCAGCCCTTTCCCCTCAGTCCCCATGGGCCTCCTTGGCAGCAGGAGCTGTCCTTTTGTTGTTGGGTGCCAGGAAAGGGCCTCCAGCCTCTGCAGCTTCAAGGAAGGGGCAAGGGGAGGGTAGGAAGAGGGAGCTGTGTATCAAAATGACTCCCCCCCTACCTTTCCTCCCTGACCCAGGGCTGGTGAGGAGTGGGGCCCCAAGGTGAGAGGGAACGGTGCTGCTTTATTTGAAATGTTTTCTTACCTCATTCCCTGCCCCAGGAAGGGGCCCAGCCTCACCCTCCTGGGGTGGCCCCATGTTCCTCCCGCCTACCCTGCCCCGCTGCCCTAGCAGGGCAGTCCAAGTTCCCAACTGCTGCTTGCTACCCCCCTCCTTCACCTTGACCAGCTTCAGTTCCTCTCTCGATGCTCCTGCCTCTGAAGCCTGCCCTGTTTCCCCTTCCTTAGCCGCTTTTAAGTTATTTATTCTGTACTTGTGGTTTGGGGCTCTGAGGAAAATCCTGATCTTTTACCTCTCCCCCTTTGCTAGGAGTTGGGGTGGGTAGAGGCTAGTCTCTGTGCTCTGGGTTGTCAGTAGAGGGGTGTCGTGCCTAGGCATTGCCCCTCTGTGGGACTCTCATGCCAGTGTGCCCACCTGCCTGGTCTACATCCCGAAGAGATGTACCGTCCCACCTCCACGTGGGCACCATCGCTCCCAGGAGCCGAGCTGGAGGACTACAGTCTGGGCTAGGAGCAGAGCTGACTGACACAGGGATGGAGTTGATCCTGAGCCATGTTCTCTGGCATTTGCTGGATGTGAACCCTGCCCTCTTCCCAGGAGGAGCCATCCCACATTTGGGTAGCTAGTACCCAGGACTGGTTGGACTGATTTGGGTTAGGGACCCTAGAGGGTTAAGGGAACAACGAGAGAGAGGGCTGCAGTACCCTGTCTGTAACCCCAATCTCCCCCTGGGGTGGTTGTTGATTGTGGCTGATGCCTGGTTACAAATTGGTTTTTAACCCAAGAATTGTGATTATTTTTTAAAAAGCCAAACAGATTTTGGCAGGAGTTAGAATAAATCCTGGGGCCTGGGCTCCTCTGTTCTTGACCCTCCAATGTCTTCTCCCTCTAAGGGGAAGCTAGAGGGAAAGGAGGATTTCAGCCAGCCTCCAGCCTGCTTCCAAATGAAGTCTTGGGAGTGGGTTGAAGGTGAAGGGAGGAAGGCCATGGGCCATTCTCCCTTCTGAGAGGCAGCTGCAGCTCAGGCCCTACCATACCCTTTCCCCTCTGGCCTCTCCCTTTCCCCCCCTCTGGTTAGAGGAGGGAGAAGTGGGAAGTAGTTTGGGAACTGGTTTGTCCACATCCACTTCCCCATTGTTCCTTGGCCCGCCCTCAGGGCAGAGCCCCCTGCCCAAGCTGGGTAAGAGATGGGCTTGGTCCAGCAGGGACCCTGAGGGAGCAAACCCCTTTCCTTCTGGGGAGAGTGTGCCCCCCCCTACCATGTAGTTGAACAGGGGCTAGGAGCTCTCCACTCCCCTCCCTCGAACAGCAGGCTGTGTGGGTTTCAATTCCCATCCTTCCCACCCCGGCTAGGTGTCGTCCACCCTGTATCCTATCATGTGTCTGAGTGTGTGTGGGGGGGGTTCTGTACTAATTTCCATGGCCGGTGGCTTTTCCTTCCATGCATCACTCCCCCCCGCATGCCCAGGGGCCACCCGCCTGGCATTACCGCATGCTGGGGTCATTGGGGGAGGGGGGAGGGGCTCACGCTGTCCTGTGGTCTTGAGATTTTTATTTTTGCATATGTAATCCATCCTGTACAGGTAGCTAACTTTGTAAACGCTGTGTATTTCCCCTGCCCCCATGGCTGCTGGTGTAAATAAACTGCATCTCCCGTTGGTAGCCTGGCCTACCCACCCTCATTACCATGTTGACGGGGGGGCAGAGCAAAGCCATTCTCTTAATGTCACAGAAGGAGGCTCCACAGCCACAAAATGGAACTTTATTTAGTCACAGACACTGACCATCCAAGAACCCCAGAGGCAAGGGCCTGGGGCCCAGGGCTCCATACCCAGAGCTCGTCCTTGGAGCTGGGCAGGGCAGGACACTGGCTGAGGGCCAGAGCTGTCTCTCGCTTACAGCCTTAGGCCTAGGGTAGCAGCAGCTGTGGCTTGGCCTCTCCCAATGCTGGGGGCTTGGCTTTGTGCCCCAATCCCCTTTCTGACTGAGCTCTATAAAAGACTATTAAAAAAAAGAGGAAAAAAAAAGCAAAGTGCTTTCAAAAAAGGGGAGAACGCTGGAAACTATCCAGAACACAGAGAACATCCTATTCCTGCTACAGGGGTGGAGGGAGAAGGTAGAGGTGGCTAGGTGCCTATATAGAAAGCAGACACGACCTTCATTCCTGCTGCGTGACTTCTAGTCTCAAAAGGTGGATATTCCCTTAAGAAACAGAAAAATACTCCAGGCTCCCTCCAGAAGTATGCTGGGGCCATGCTGAGCTGCCCTGGCAGGCGGCCCTGGGTACTGAAGAGCAGACATGCAGGACAATGGAAAGAGCTAGGGCCACAGCTGGGAGGGAATCCTCGGAGCCCAGGCTCCCCCACCGAGCTGGGCTACCAGCTCAGCTCTGAACTTTAGGACCCTAAAAGGGAAAGAAGATGACATCCTTGTTTCTACCTGAGTTGTGCTTGCACAGAGATGGGATGTCGGTACCCTTGTGGACGTGAAGTGGAGGCCCTGTACCTGCCTCCTATGTCCTATGGAGGAGGACCTGGCACATCCTTTCCACCCCTCCCTCCCAAGCCCTTGGGCCCAGCTCCGGCCAGGAAAGGAGGGAGGCCATAAAGGAGGAAGACCATGCCTTTCATTTTCTCCCTATGTCCTTATCGTCCATACATCCCAAATACTAGGAAGCTGAAGAAGACAGTGACCCCCACCAGGGAGACCGTGGCAGGTGCTGTGAAGAACTGGCGGTAATTGATACGGAAGTACCAGACCACACCCAACAGCACCACAAACACAGGCACCATGAGGCTGCCCACACTGACGCCGAGGCTGGGGGGTTCGGTGGCTGAAGAGGGGGCCAGGGAGGCTGAAGGGCCTGGAACAGCTGACCCTGGGGGCGAGCGGTGGCAGTGAATCACACAGTTGTCGGTAATGTTCAGGGAACGCAGTGTGCGGGCCGGATCCTGCAGCAGACGGCCCTGGTAGATCAGTTTCATCTGGCTTTCTTGTCCAGGGAAGTATTTACTGGAAGGATGAAAGGAAAGAAGGAAAGACAGAAGGCAAGGAATGAGAAGGCAAACAGGCCTGGACCAACAAAACAGGGCAATGAGGGAAGAACTGAAGGGTGAGTTTCTAAGAAGTATCCCACCCACCCCTTAGTGGGGGCTGGACCTGATACATCCCTACTGCTCCCAGGTGGATACCAGCCTCCTCTCAGGTGACCAAGGGCTGAGGGCAAGGGGTATGAGCAGCCTCCCACTCTCCAGTCCACTCACCTCTTCAGGGCACCCACAGTATCCTCCGGCCTGGCCACAGCCAGCTCCTCGGTGTCATTGAGGAATTTGAGCCGCACACTGATGAGGCCAGGGCTGGGAGGGAGGCAGCTGCTATCCTCAGATCTCAGAGGGGCCTCTGGACTGCTGCTTTCTGGGCCCGCTTGTCTTTTGGGAAGGCCTTGGATGTCAAGCAGATGCTCAAGGCTCGGCTCAATACCACCCCCAGCTCCAGGCTCCCCTGTGGAGTCTCCCCCACCTTCGCCAGCCTCTTCAGCCTTCTCATCATTACCCTCGGATGGATGGGGGAGTTCGGTTGGCTCTGGGGTGCCTTGGCCTGCTACTAGATGGTCCACATGCCCCAGGTGGAGGACGGATGTGTCTCCAGCTGACACAATGGTGCCCAGGAGCTGGTTGCTACCGCTGTCTGCTACGTAGGTAGAGAGCCAAGCTAGGACCAAGGCTAGAATCAGCACCACCACACCTGCCACCACAGTCACCTCATTACCCACACCCTCAATGAGGGTGACATCAGAGAGCTCCATGGCCTGGCTGCTGACTGGGTCGACACTGCAGGAACAAAGGGGGATAGCATCAGCAGGGTACGTGGGGTTGCAACCGGGTTCCTAGTTTGTTTCGGTCCTAACTGACTCAGCCCTGAAAGAAAATGGAGTTCAGTGTCCTATGGAAGGGGGAACAAACTTTCCTACCTCTGGACCCCCAACCTAAAGCTAAGGACTTACCCTTTGCCTCTATTGTGAAACACTAGCTTTCAGGTTCCACATCTTTCCTCTCTCACATTTCGAGCTCCCAAAGGCATGGATCATCAGGAAAATCTCATGGCCTTGTTGGGGCGACTGCTGCTGCCACTGGCTGTTGCTTTTTTGGTAGGTGGGAAAACATTTGCTTCTTTGAGCCCTGAGTTTCTCTAGGATTTCTATCATTTGCTTTAGCAACTACGCCCCCTGAGAAGGCTCCAAGGTGGCTTCAGAGAGACCAAAAAGCCTGAAATATTTTATTTTAGGGTCTTCTGGATGCATAGTGCAGCCACTCTTGCCAGACTGTCCCGTTTGAACCCTACCTTATTCATGGTCACGTTTTCAGGTTCAGATGTCAAGAACCAAAAAATTAATTTCTCATCAGAAGCACAGTCAGACCACCCCAAAGAAACACATCTGTAGGGGCCATCAGCAGACATTATGCAGCAGGCACCGTGTCTGCCACCTCTGAAACTCTTCTGACAAGTCCCAGGGAGCAAAGAAGAACAGACACCAGAAACACCGCCCTCCTGGGTCACCAGAGGCTCGCAACTGCAAAACCACTAAGTGGAAAGATTTGGAAAAGATTCCAAAATAGCTCTCATAATCCATATCCCTATCTCTCTTCGTGTACTGTGTAGTTTCTCCCTTGGCAGTTTCTTAGAAAGGCAGGAAGGACCTTAGAGTACCCACTCTTTCCCTCAGGAATGTGCAGCTTTCACAGCTGTCCCCGGGCAAATCCAATCTGATGATAATTATCATTAACAGACTACTCTCACAATACCTATAAAACTTCATTATACTCTTCTACCTGTCCATCTCTCTCTACGAGACTTCTGGAAGACAAGGATCATGTGTATTTTTCTATGCACCCTACTGCCCAGCATAATGCCATAGTAGCGGCTCAAAGAATATTTGTGGAACATATCAACATCTGAATAGCTTCCACATCCTTATTTAGAACATGGGCCCTGGAGTAAAAAACAAAAAACCTAATTATAATCCTGGTCTTGCCCCTTGCTAGCTCTGTAACCTCGGACAACTTTCTCAAAGCCTCAGCTTTCTCATCAGTAAAATGGGGTTAAAAATAGTACCTACCTCATAAGGTTGTTTTGACGGTGACGGGAAATCATCGAAGCAAAATACTTAGCACAGTGTCTGGCACATTGCAATGGTTCAATAAATAAATGGCAGCAATTACTTATCGCTCCCACAACTAGCCCCTAATGGTAAGGATGGTTAATGTCACCAACCCTGATTTACAGAAAAGGAAACTGCGGTGAACAGAAGCGAAAACGACTGGCACAGACACAGGGCACTTTCGTGGGCAGGGGCCGGGCAGGACCCCTGGTCTCCCGCCCCAGAGGCCTCTGGTGTCTCCTCAGTCTGTGGGCGACCCTGACGCGCGGTGAGGAGGGGTCCCGACTCTGCCTTTTCTGAGGCGAAGGCTCCGCGTGGGGCGGCCCTATTCCCGCGGCGCTGGAGAGGAGTCGGTGGGCCCACCCGAGACGAAAGGCCACCTGGTCCCTGGCGGCCAAGCTCAGTTCTCCCAGCCCATAGGGGTAGAGTCCGGTGAGGGGGTCACAAACCATCCACACCCCTCAAACTTCGGGGCGGGGCTGGGGACGTGGGGGCGGGGCTTGCGTACGCGGGGAGTCATGGGAAATTAAGGGGGATTGGACCGGTGCTGTGCCTGGATAGGGAAGGAGGTCCTCACCTGAAACGGCCAGACTAAGTATTTTGACTTCGCCAGGACGGCCCATGGACTCACCTTTCCGTAGGGGCCGGGGGAGGGGCTGGCTATCCCCGGTTCTGTCCAGGGTCCCGTCTCTTCCGGCTTCTCCCGGAAGCTGTTTGAACCAGAGACAGGAAGTCCCGCCTCCGCGCTCTGCACTGATGACGTTAGTCTACGTAAGGCGGGCTGACGTAAACGTATTCTTTAAAAAGGGACAGGTTTCTCAGCGGAAGGAGGGGCGGAGTTATTGTTGGCGGGATCGTCGCCCTCCGCGGGCGGGGCCACGCTCACTGGGCGGGGCCTAGGCCGCCCATGGGTGAGGGGCGGGACTGTATGGGGTTGGGGGAGGTGCTTGGGAGAAGGAAGGCGTGGCTTCACCTCTGGAAGACCGGCGTGCGGGCCAAGCTGGGCAGAACGAGAGCGGCGCTTCCCTCGTCCCGGCTTGTTCTTCCGGCCTCGCTCCCAGCCTCCAGGGCTGGTTGGATTTATTTTTTTTTATTTTTTGTTTTTTTATTTTTTTGCTGATTGGATTTATTACTGCTCTGTAACGCGTATTGAGCGGGATCAGTAGGGACTGGTCTCTCTGACCTCCAAAAGTTCAGCTCAGGGCTAGTCAGGATACAGGAGGCAATTTAGTTACCGTCCGGGTGCTCCCGAGAATGCGGCCCCAGGTAGTGTGGGACCTTGGTAAATAACGCCAGAAAGCCTTTCAAAGAAGGCACGGATTCAGTGCAGGCTTAAGGCACAAGAAGAGGAGCCCAGAAGAAAACAGGAAAAAAGTTCAGCTCCCAAAAACTTAGCCGGATTTTTGCAACTAAAATTCTTTCAGGGGGCCTAGCTGGCTCAGTCCGGGTGGTGAGTTCGAGCCCCACGCTCGTCCTAGAGATTACTTAAAAGATTTTGGGGGGTCCGCCCCTGTGTGGCTCAGTCCGTCAAGCATCGGGCTCTTGATTTCAGCTCACGTGGTGATCTCAGGGTTAGGGTTAGTGGGATCGAGCCTCCCCACCCAGGGGCTCCACGCTTAGCGAGGAGTCCGCTTGGTACTCTCCCTCTCCCTCTGCCTCTACCCGCTGCGCTCTCTCTCTCTAAAATAAATAAATAAATCTTTAAAAAAATATTTTTTTCAAAAGATATGTTAGGATTTTTGTTTTCTGGTGAACTTTTGATTGAAACATAAAAAAGGCGGACGAGGCAAACTCACAAGTGAAGGGTTCAGTTGTTTTCACCAACTGAACATATCAATGGAACCAGCCCTCAGATAAAGAAATAGAAAATGACCCTAAAGTCCCCCTTCATGTTCTCTTCCAGCCACTAACTTACAAAGAGTAGCCGCTATTATGACTTCTGTTACCATAGATTAGTTTTCTGGTTTTTTTGTTTGTTTGTTTTTAAAGATTTTATTTATTTATTTGACAGAGACACAGTGAGAGAGGGAACACAAGCAGGGGGGGTGGGAGAGGGAGAAGCAGGCTTCCCACGGAGCAGGGAGCCCGATGCGGGGCTCGAGCCCAGGACCCTGGGACCACGACCTGAGCCAAAGGCAGACGCCCAACGACCGAGCCACCCAGGCGCCCAGTTTTCTCTGTTTTTGTACTTTGTATAAATGAATCAAGCCGTCTGGCTTCTTATTCTTCTTTTTTCCAAGTCTTACTGTGAAATACACATAAATTTACTGTTTTAACCATTTTAAGTGGCTAATTCAGTGGCATTAAGTACATTCATGGGCACCTGAGTGGCTCAGTGGCATCTGCCTTCAACTCGGATCATGATCTCAAGGTCCTGGGATCAAGCCTCACATTGGGCTCCCTGCTCAGTGGGGAGTCTGCTTCTCCTTCTCCCTCTGCTTCTGCCCCTCCCCTCTGCTCGTGTGCTCTCTCTCTCTCAAATAAATATTTTTTTAAAAAATACATTAGTAATTTTGTGCACCCATCACGGCTATCCATTTCCTATACCCATGCCTTCTTCCCACCTCCATTCTACTTTCTATGAATTTTCCTATTCCAGGTATCTCATATAAGTGGAATCATACAATAATTGCCTTCTTTGTATCTGGCTTATTTCACTTAATGATGTTTTCTTTTTTTTTTTTTTAAGATTTTATTTATTTATTTGACAGAGAGAGACACAGCGAGAGCAGGAACACAAGCAGGGGGAGTGGGAGAGGGAGAAGCAGGCTTCCCCCCAAGGAGGGAGCCTGATCCGGGGCTCGATCCAGGACCCTGGGATCATGACCTGAGCCAAAGGCAGACGCTTAACGACTGAGCCACCCAGGCGCCCCACTTAATGATGTTTTCAGGGATCATCCATTTTGTTGACCCTATCAAAATTTTATTCCTTTTTTTAGGCTGAATAATATTCCATTGTATGTTTATAGCACATTTTCTTCATCCACTCATCTATTAATGGACATTTGGGTTGTTTCCATCTCGTGGCTATTCTGAATAGTACTGCTATGAACATTGATGTGCAAGTATCTGAATCCCTGCTTCCAATTCTTTTGTCTGGCTTCTTTTGATCAACTGTATGTTTGTGAAATGAAAGGTATTGTTTTAATTTCTGCATACATGTATTTTGGGGGTCTAAAATTTAGTGTTTTTATTTTGAAAAATGCAGGAGGGATAGGGCATCACTGTACAGTTAAACAGAATTCTGAAGAATGAATAGAGGTTTACCAAGCAAAGTTCCGGAGAGAGTAGCAAGTTCAAGGACTCTCAATAAATACTTGAGGGAATGAATAAACCAATGAGCTAAACCACTGTTAAAGTTTTGAAAGTTTATTATGTGCCAGGTACTGTGCTAAGTGCTTCATATACATTATCTTATGGAGCCCTGTCAAGTAGCTCTTAAAATACCCATTTTATAGGTTTGGAAACTGAAGCTCACAGAGGATAAATAATTGTCCAAATTATGCTGTTAGTGCTGTAGCTAAAGTCATCTAGTGCTTGCGCTTGAGCTCGCTCTCTCATTCCCTCTCTGTTTATATATGATCTTATTGTCAATATTTGGCCCCCTCCTTTCTTCACTCAACTATATACCATGAAGCTTTTCCTGTGTCACTGAATATTTTTATAACATCATAGCATAGCTTTAAAGAGCTGCTCAACAGTATCATCTTCGGTGGTGCACCATAATTTTTCAGCTAATTATCTCATTTGGATGGACATTGAGATTGTTTTCAGTACTTTCTTTTTAAATAGTGTTTGCATAAACATCTTTGTGCATCTCTGATGACAGATTTTTGTACACATCCATGATGTTTTCCCTAGGATAAATTCCTGAAAATGGGATTGCTGGATCCAAGGGTGTTCACATTGTTCAGGTTTTGACACACCATCCTCCAGAAGGGTGTGCCTATTCCTATTCCCACAGCAGCATGATTTGGGACCTACTACTGTTTCTCTTCCAAAAAACAGGCTGGAGGTGAGAGAGAACAGGGAATAAATGGAGGGAGGTCCTAAAGATGTTCATAAGATGTTATAAGGAGAAAAGAGCAGAGGAAAAGGGGGGAAGTGAAATCTGAGAAGGGAATAAATGACTGAGCAGTGTGACCTCTGAAGCCCAGGACGTGGAGCCCATGGCCAGGCCTGCCCTGCACAGGAGCCGGCAAATCTGGCTTTTTCACTGCTCCGGGTACCTGATCCATCTGTCTGGGGTTCGGTACCTACAGTCTTGTGTTTCCCTACAGTCTTGTGGACTGACTTCTGCTAGAACACTTAGCAAACTGCATTGTGGTGTTTGTTTTGCTTTGTTTTTAAAGATTTATTTATTTATTTAAGGGGGGTGGGGAGGCGCAGAGGAAGAGGGAGAGAGAGAATCCCAAGCAGGCTCCCCGCTGAGTGCGGAGCCCAGCGTGGAGCTCGATCTCACGATGGAAGATCACGACCTGAGCCAAAGCCTAACCAGACCCTTGACCGACTGAGCCACCCAGGTGCCCCATAACAGTGTATTTGAATGGATCTGAACTCCTTGGACATTTTTCATGATAGAGTTCTTCAGATGTTTGCTTTTCTTACACTATGGAACTTAGATGTTTTTATACTTTTATGTGCAATTAAGATGGCTCTCGAATGGTGAATGTATTTGTGAATCCTGGAATGCTGTCTTAACCCAATGTGTGTATAGTAAATCTGTTGTACTAAAACTGCTCCTTCCCTAACCACTCTCTGTCATTCATGCCATGTTTGCCAATCTGATAGACAAAAGCGTGTCTGTTCCTTTGATTTCATTCATTGGATCACTAGTGAGGTTTTCAGTTTTCTTGTTTCATCCACCACTTTGTAAATTAATTGTTGGGCCTTTTGTGTTTTCTTCCCTTAAAAAAATAAGCATTTTTTTAATCTGAGGGGCGCCTGGGTGGCTCAGATGGTTGAGCGTCTGCCTTCGGCTCAGGTCATGATCCTGGGGTCCTGGGATCGAGTCCCGCATCGAGCTCCCTGCTCCTTGGGAGCCTGCTTCTCCCTCTCTCTCATGAATAAATAAATAAAATCTTAAAAAAAAAAAAATGCTTACCCAGGCCACTCCCAGGGCGGGGGAGGGCCGCCCCTTAGACACTCCTGCTGTCTGAGGGTGGTGATTAAATTACTTCACATCTTCAAAAAAAAATTAATTTCACAAGAATCCATGGCTATCTCTTTGTAAAAAAATTTAAATATGGGGAAATAAAAACTTTAAAAAACCCAACACAGTAGGGTGGAAATTTTTTTAAAATTTCAAATACAGACCATAAAACGCCCCCCTGACACAGTCGTTCTCCCCTCCCCAGAGGACAATTCTTGGGCACCTGCCTCTGGGCCTTTTTCTCTTCATCTACAATCATGGGATTTGGCCTTATTGGCTGTACATATTGTATTCCAACCTGTTTCTTCTCTTCAACAACAGTCTTGGCAATCTTTCCAAGGCCATGCCTACAACGGTCACTTGGCATGCCTCCCCAGTTCCTTCCCGTTGCAGGGACTACCCTTTGTAAGGGCTGCATTGTGTTCCAGAGTAAGGATTTGTCCACCACCTCCCACATGTTGCGTCGTTGCACGCAGTGCTGGGGTGAATGTTCCATGTGTACCAGCATTTTATGTAACGGGGGAGCAGTGTTTAAGGGTGCTGCCAAATTGCCTACCAAAAAAGCAATTTCCTTTCCCATCAATAGGATGAGCAAGAATTTATTTACATCTTCAGATCTTCATGGGTAATGCCTATTATTGATCTTTATAATTTCCCTGTATCTGGTGGGGGAACAGTACCTGATGATTGCTTTGATTTGCATTTCCCTGATGGCTGGTGAGGTTGATTCGTTGATGCCGCAGATATTTGAGTGTCTACTCTCTGCAAAGCACCAAGTCACCAGTGGTGAATAAAACAGATGAAGGAAATGAAATCTTTTATTTTTTAAAAAAGATTTTATTTCTTCATTTGAGAGAGTGAGAGAGAGAGCATGAGAGGGGAGAGGGTCAGAGGGAGAATCAGACTCCCCACTGAGCACAGGGAGCCCGATGCGGGGCTCGATCCCGGGACTCCTGGATCAGGACCCGAGCCGAAGGCAGTTGCTTAACCAATGTGCCACCCAGGCGTCCGGAAATGAAATCCCCCAATACTTTGTCTATCACTTGTGTTTATGATTTGGTGCTTTTATAACCAAATTTAAATTGTTTCTGTATCCAGATCTATTCATTTTTTCTTTTATGCTTTCACCCTGGAAAATCTCCTACCCCAAAATAATACACATAATCTCATGTATCTTTTGGGGGTTTTTTTCTAAGTGGGTTTTTTTGTCATAGGTGTAAATGCAACAGAAAAAGCTGAGCTCGCTGGGGTTTGCCTCCTGTAAAGGGGTGGACAGCTCAGCATCCTCCCCTGAGAGTGAGGCTGTCAGCTTGGGCCCAGGAGTACAGAGGATCTCCTTCTCTTCCCTCTCGCCTTTTGGCTCTATGAAATGAAAGCCAACATGTCTTCCAGAAAGGAGAGGTTGCTGCTCTGCATAACAAGGTACAAAACTGTCTTCGTGTTGGTGAAAGGGAATCTCCGCAGATACAACTCTCCACAGAGGCGAGGAGGCTGGCAACAGCTGCAGGAGGCCGACCCCGGGACTCCTGACCCGTCGCTACCGTGTGACTCCAAATGGTAATGGCAGTCGACAGCCCAGGGTCCCTCAGCAAAAGGACCCTCCTGCAGTGGGTACTACAAGCTTGGGGTCTGGCAAGGGCCTTCTGTTGTTCTTATACCCTTTTTCCTATCACAAGAGTAATAGCTGCTCCGTAGAGGGGCGATAAACATGGAGTGAGGGGTATCTCAGCCACATGCCAACCTAACACATACATGCTTGGGTTCTGGGCACACATCATTTATTTGCATTCACAAAAACTGGCTTGGCGTAAAAGGTTCTTAAAGATGAAGGATGCTACTTTTGACTCTGGGACCAGAGGAGGAAGTGAGAGAGAGGGGGGACAGCTAGTGGCTTGTCCTCCTGTCACAGACCCTTAGAGACCACAAGTGTAGTGACCCATTGTTTAAGACATCATGCATCACTGGTGGGTGGACCAGGCAGAGGGAACAGCACATGCAGAACACCTAGAAGCAAAGTGGAGCAGGTCATATCCAGCAAGCCGCAAGTCTGCCCAGTTTGATGAGGCTGGATTACAGGAACCTCAGAGGGGGAAGGGGGAATCAGAAGACCAGAGAGCTTGGCGGAGGCCGGGGTAGAAGATCTGTCTACTTACTGAATTCAGATTTTAGCCTGAAGGTGGTGAGGAGCCACCGAAGGGCATGATCAGAGTTGTGATTCTTGAAGGGGCTCTGGCATCCTTGTGGGGCGTGTGTTTCAAGACCAAGCAGGGAGGTCCTCCCTTCAAGCAACAAAGGCAGTTTGGGCAGAGGCAGTGCAGGTATAGACGGAGTCGGTCACTCTTTAGGAGGCCAAACAGGTACATAGGTGGCAGGGGACGGAGGAGCAACAAGGATCACCCCCACGCGGCTTGGGCTGGAGGGGCCAACCACTTAAGCAAAGGAGATAGAGGCGGGTGAAGGCTGAGTCTGCAGACCTTCCCATTGGAAGCTGAAGCTTGGGTCGGGCAGGAGATCAGCGAGTAGCTCAAGAAGGCAGTGAAGACGGGAGCAGGCTGGGGAGGGCACGCAGAGTGTGGACAAGAGAGCCAGGGATTGGTCCTCCGGGGTTGTAGGGAGACGACTGATGGAGGGGACAGAAACAGCTCCGGGAGCACCCTGGCATGGGGCTCACTGGATCCGCCCCTCCACACGCAGCAGCAGGTAGTCCCTGAGGACCGGGGGCAGCGGGAGGTGAGCGGCGGCCTGTCGGCAGCGGCTACCCAGCTGATCACGCACAGCCAGCCGGGCCAGGTGCTGCAGCCGCCTCGGCTGGTTCACCATGCTCAGGGCCGAGATGTAGAAGGCTTCGTGCTCCTAAGCCAGGAGTGGAACAGGATCAGATGGCCCAGCACCCTTGATCCTGCCCTTCCATCTGGCGATGACCTAGCACTGGGGGCCCCAGGGAATTTGCAATATGCACCCACCAGGGTGTCTGGTGCAGCTTGAAAGACTCGGATTCAGAACCCAGAGGCCCTGCAGGGGTCATGGGAGATGGGACCACAGTGTAGGGCAGGGTCTCGGCCATGTCTGCACCCACCACTCTAAAGATGCTGGCACGGTGCCCGCTGAGTCCGAGATACCTGTTTAATGTCCACGCTGGTACCAGTGAGAGAGGCTGGAGAGGTGTGGGATTAGAGGGTGTTCTGAGCTGCTAGGCGGCAGGAGACCCCAGGGGAGGGAGGGGAGCCCATCCTGGAGGGATAAGGCCTGGGGCTCATCCTTTCTCTCCATCTCCCCCAGAGCCCAGGAAGGAGCTGTGCCCCTGTGGTGGACATACCTGCCACAGCTCTGGGAGTACTGCCTCCACCCAGGTATCACAGGAGGGGACACAAGGGTAGGCATTAAGCAGGACTTCCAGGGCCCGAGGGAAGTTGGCACAGTGTTTCAGCATCTAGGAATCAAAAGAGGGTGTTAGGGTCACCACGGTTCTCCCAACCAAGGGCAGAACCAAGTCCAGCCTAAGCCAAAGCCCCACTCACACCCAAAGTTGGGACGCTAAGGTCGGAGTCTCCTCTTTCCTATGCCTCAGTTTACCCCAACTTCTGTGGGCTGCAACCTCTTGGCCCTGGCCAGTTTCCTTGGGAGCTCTTTTGTCCTTCCACACGCTCCCCTATAGCCCTCAGTGGTCCTTCCCAAGGTGAGGACAGACCTTTGGCTACAGGACCGGGCTTTTAGTCTCTTGCCCCCCACCCCCTACCCCCACCTTCCCCGGCGGCAGGGCAATTCCAGCCTCAGGTTCCCCCGCTCAACTGGGGCCTCCTTTCGCAGGCCCTCCCCGCGCACCTCAGGGCGCACAGGCTGGGCCCCGTAGTCCAGCAGCGCTGCCAAGAGGCCCTCGGGCTCCCAGCTGGGGGCGTCCCGGACCGCCTGCAGCGCGCAGTCCATGGGGGTGTGGCCCGCCGCGTTGGGCACTCCAGCGCAGGCGCCGTGGCGCAGCAGCAGCTCGGCCAGGGCCCCGCAGCCGTTGGCACAGGCGTTGTGCAGCGGCGTGTGGCGCTTGCGGCCGGCAGCGCGGGCATCAGCCCCGGCCGATAGGAGCCGGCGCGCTGCCTCCTGGTGCCGCCGGCCACTGCCCGGGCCCTCGGCCCCCGCGCACGCCGCGTTCAGGGCCGTCTCGCCCTGGCTGGTGCGCAGGTGCACGTTGGCTCCGTGCTCCAGGTAGAGAGCCACGTGCTCCTCCAGGCCGCGAGCCGCCGCCACATGCAGGGGTGTCACCTCGCTATCCTGCGCCGCCACGTTCACGGTCGCTCCCGACTCCAGCAGCAGCTTGGCGCACCTGGGGGGCGAGGCGCATGACCCAGAGACAGATCCTAAGGGACCACGGCCTGGCCTGCTGTCATCCCCTTCCCCGTTTCTTCCCACCCTGCACGCCATCGAGGCGAGCCTGGTGTCCACCATCAGACTCACAGAAGCCCCATGACCGACAGCAGAGTTGCGAGGCCCATGATGTCCCCAGGAGCATCTTCAGTCTTCAGATGGAAAACTCGGCCGAGGAGGGCCGCCATACAGCCAAGGACACACAGCAAGTTAGAGGCTGCGTCAGAATGAGTACTCACTGCCTCAGACGGTCCCTCCCAGAATCTGTTTATTTCCTCGGTAAGTTCCAATCATGGGCTAATTTTTTGTTTCCAAAACCTGACTCCCAGAGTGGATTGGGACCCCAAGGCCTAGTTCTGAATCACTTGCCAGTGGTCTCTTAACATTTTGATAATGCAAAAAATTTGAAAATCCACTACTGTGTCCACTACGAACGTTACACATAGAAAATTAGAATATGAGCTGGAAAGAAAAAGTCATAGAAGTCCTAATATTTTCTTCATGCTGCCAAACTTGAAGACCACCCTTCCAGACCAGTGATACCCATTCAAGCAAAGGAGGGCATTTGGGAATCAGCCTGCTCGTTTCCCCTAGAGAAAACAAATGGAACCAAACAACAAAAACTAGATTTTAGGGAGCACCTGTTTCATGGTCTCCCAGTTCCTGGAAAAACTATAGGCCAGAGCATGGGGCACCTGGGTGGCTCAGTGGGTTAAGCGTCTGGCTCTTGATTTTGGCTCAGGTTGGGGCTCAGTGCTGGGTGTGGAGCCTGCTTAAGATTCTCTCTCTCCCCCTGCCCCTCTCCCCCTCCCTGTCCTCCCCCCACCCAATCTCACGGGCATGCATGCTCTCTCTCTAAAAAACAAACAAACAAAAAACTATAGGCCAGAACACTGTTGAGGCAAATACGCACCATTAACCACCAGGGGGTAAACCAAATACGAGACAAACTCAATTAATGATGTAAATAAACTAACAGTAATTTATAATTAAAAAGCCAGAACGGTAGCCACTGGAAGCTCGGGAGTAGACGCAGCAACCCTGACGAAACCCTGATGACCCAGTGTCCCTCCCCAAAAATGGCCAGAATTCCTGTTCCTTTCAGTGTATAGGTCCAGTAGGTACTTGGCTCAGTGGGCAAAAATGCAGTAACAGCCAGCCGTCTATAAACGGCTGAATTTATTTCCTCAGCCAATTCTAATCATGGGCTAAGTTTTGTTTCTTTTTCTTTCTTTTTTTTTAATATTTTATTTATTTGACAGAGACACAGTGAGAGAGGAAACACAAGCAGGGGGAGTGGGAGAGGGAGAAGCACGCTTCCCGCTGAGCAGGGAGCCCAATGCGGGGCTCGATCCCAGGACCCTGGGATCATGACCTGAGCCGAAAGTAGACGCTCAATGACTGAGCCACCCAGGTGCCCCTAAGTTTTGTTTCTAAATACTGCATTTAAATAACCCTGAAAAGCTCATTCAGTAGGGTTTCAGTAAGTTTCACTTAAAAGGATAGTCTTTTGGAAAGCACACTGTGTGCTCGTAAGAATTCAAGAAAGGGCTGGAAAATCAAAATCACGTCTGGGTCCATCACTGCTCTAGATCCAGCTAGGGAGAAGTCCCCAGCATGTGGGCTGTGGAGTGTCCTCACCACGCCAGAAACCTGTTGTTGTTGTTTTTTTAAGTATAGGTGACACACAATGTTACATTAGTATCAAGTGCACGACCTAGTGACTTGCCAAGTTTATACATTATGCTATGTTCGCAAGTGTAACTACCATCTGTCCTGTTACATCACTATCACAAGATCATTGACTATATTCCTTATGCTGAGCCTTTTATTCCCGAGCCTTACCCATTCCATAATTGGAAACCTGTATCTCCCACTTCCCTTCACCCATTTTGCCCAACCTTCCACCCCCCCCCAAAAAAAGAACCTGTTGATCTTAAAAATGTGGGAGGAGGGGGTGTGGGGGGAGACCTTGTACTAAGGCTGGGAAACACTCGGCTACATCTTTCTTGATGCCCACCTCCAAACAGGTAGGAATTTGGCTACAGAGGATTCACAGGGGCTAGGGGACTGCAGTTGGAACAGGGTTTTCCAAAAAGGCACCAGGGCTTCTGCCTCCTGGGCTTAGCTTATGTGACCTTGGACAAGTCCCTAAACCTTTCTGAGCTTCAGTTTTCTCACCAGTGGAATGAGACCGGTCTCCTAGATTGTCATGAGGATGTGTGTATGTGAGGTGCTTCTCCCCTTCTCCTGGCTGTGTCAGCTGGAGACACACACACACACACCCCTCCCCTGGGTACCTACTGCAAGGACTCGGGGGCTGTGCAGAGGTGCAAGGGGGTTGTGCCCTCCTCAGACAACACGTTGGCCTTGGCACCGAAGGTCAGCAGCAGCTGCACACAGTCAGACTGGGCCCGGGCACAGGCCTCATGCAAGGCTGCCCGGCCCCCAACCCGGGCATCCAGCTCAGCTCCCTGCCGGATCAGGTGGCGGGCACAGTCAATGTAGCCTCGGGCAGCAGCAATGGTGAGGGGCGCCGTCTGCTTCGTCTTGGGGCTCAGCACCCAGAACCCTGGGGAGAGCAGGTAGGGTTGGGGAATGGTGTGTGAGACTCCCAGGGCAGGCTCTGACCGTGGCCGTCCCTTTGCACCCTCGGCCTGAGCACGAATCGTGCCAGGCTGTAGCTATGGGGAGGGGCTAAGCAATCAAGCCCTGAACTTGGAGTGTATATTGGAACAGCCTTTTATTTATTTACTTATTTATTTAAAGATTTTATTTATTTGAGAGAGAGCACAAGCAGGGTGAGCAGCAGGCAGACGGAGAGGGAGAAGCAGGCTCCCTGCTGAGCAAGGAGCCCGATGTAGGGCTCAATCCCAGGACCCTGGGATCGTGACCTGAGCCGAAGGCAGACGCTTAACTGACTGAGCCACCCAGGCGCCCCAGGAATAGCCTTTTAGAACGGTTTGTCAATCTGTAACAAAACAGTATGTGTGTCATAGAAGAAAAAAAAAAGGTAATTGCTCTTTCAAATCACAGGCGCAACTGAAGAGAGTCCCACACTGGACTCCATGCTCAGTGGGGAGTCTTCTAGAGATTCTCTCTCTCCTTCCCCCTCTGCCCCTCCCCACTGCACACACACACTCTCTCTCTCAAATTAAAAAAATATTTATTATGTGGGGACGCCTGGCTGGCTCCATTGGTGGAGCACGTGACCCTTGATCTCAGGTTCGTGAGTTCAAGTCCCACGTTGGGTGTAGAGATTACTTGAAAATAAAATCTTATTTTTAATTTTTAATTTATTTTATTTCAAGTAGGCTCCACACCCAGTGTGGGGCTTGAACTCACGACCCTGAGATGAAGACTCACATACTCTACCGAGTGAGCCAGCCAGGTGCCCCTTAAAAAAATATATATCTGTATATATATTTATTTACATATATGTATTCAGAGAGAATATTGCATTAGAGTATAACTGTATTGCTATGTAATTGATATGTTAATATAATTTTAATTCTGAAAAGACATACAAACCACTACGCCTCCTCTCTGCGGAGGAGGGAACTAGAATGGGTGTGGAAAGCAGTGGTCTAGTCTGGGTTCTGGAGGGAGAGGATGGGGCCAAGTCTCTCCCCCATCCCCACCCTCTTCTCCCTCCGCCCCCTTCTGCCCCCCCCCCCCCCGGGGTGCTCCCTACCCTGTTCAGCTGACCAGGCCAGCTGGTTGCTCACAGTCTCCACAATCATGTTGGCAGCGTCTTCCTTTTGGAACAGGGCTTGGACCTGGCGCAGGTCACCGGAGAACAGAGCGTTGTGCACGGCTGGGTCTCGGCAGCAGCGGCGCGGCCTGGTGAGGCGGGCCTGGGCACTGGGGGGGCACCTTTGGCTGTGGCACTGCTGGGCCGCGGCCCGCCGCCGGTCCTCCCACTCCAGCCATTCCCGCTGGAGCCGGAGAGCCCGCCGCGTGGAGGAGGTGAACGGGAAGGTCTCCTCTGCCATGGGGAGGGGCGCCGGGGGGCTGGGCGGCGGCATCTGGGCAGAGCCGGGTTCCCCCAGCCCGACTACCCCCCGTGTTCTGAGCAGCCGCCCTGCCCCTCCCTCGTAACCCGGCCAGAGGAGCAGCTGAAGCTATAAATAGGTCCTTGGCCGGCCTGGTAAACGCCGTTTGCCCAGAGTCATGATCCTGGTGCAGAGAAGGTATTGGGCCAACCCCCCCCCCCCCCCCCCCCGCCAGCCCAGGGCCAAGGCCAACCCCTGCCCCTGCTGATGCCCTCCCAAGGGGGCAGCAGCAGGAGCCCCAGGGTCGGCATCCTCCCACTTGCCTGGAGGGAGCATCTTGGGTTGGCAAGGTCCAAGGGGAGTGAAACAGTCGATCTGGGAGATGGGCAGGGCAAGAAGAGCCAGAGTCCCCCAGCCTCTTAGCTGTTGGCTGGAGGGCGGACCCCAGCCCAGGAAGTAAGGGCAGGCGGAGACCGGTCCAAACAGCTCTTCCGGTGTCTGCAGTAGTCCGGGTAACTGCGCATGTGTGCACGGGGCTTTACGCCAAGGACATCACTTTTATATCCGTCTTCACTCCAAGAGCCATACTTCCTGGCTCCCTGAGGGTAAAAAGCTTGGTTTTGACCATAAAGTACACAATCAGGCTAATGATCACAGTGGAGCGCCTCTGAAATGGGTGCTTTTGTGTCCGTCTTAACCATGAGGAAACTGAGGCTTAACAAGGTCACAGCTTGTGAGCGGCGGAGCCAGGACTAGGACCCCAACTGGCCAGACGGCATAGATGGGGCACTTTGGCTCATGCTGCTGTGGCCACCTCAGGGTGGCCAGTGGTGAGAGCCTCTCCGCGACCTCCTAGCAGGACAGCGCGGCCTCTAGAAACTGCCCGCCACGAATCTCGTGTCCCTCCACCCCCCGAGCTCCTAAAAAGGGCTCACCTGCCTGCCTTAGGAAGGCCGAGGGGTTGACCTGGCAACTCTGGGGACTCTGACCGAAGAAACCTTCAAGCCACAAACCCATTCAGTCTCAGGAGAAAGCAGCTCTGCTTCCAGGAGCCTCTAGGGGGAGGAATGAGGCCATGAAATAGCCCTGGCTGATGCTCTGCGGAGCCCGGGAAGGGAAGGGAAGGGGCGGGCGGAGGGGGGCCTCGGAAGCTCTCCTACCCCCCCACCTCACCCAGTGTGCGGACGGGCAGCCCCTCAGCCCCTCGGGGTCGGCCTGGTCAGTGTCCACCAGCGCGGCGGGCTCTCCCGGCCCCTCTGCCTGCCCCACTTCCTCCCCTCCCTGGTTCTGCAGCCGCCCCTGCGCAGTGACCTCGGACTTCTTCCTCTCCCTGGTCCCCTCACGCAAACAAGCTCCAGCTCCCATTGTCACATTGTCAGTCACCCTCTCAGTGCCCCTCACTGGGACCAGCCCAGCCTCCTGCTGTTCCTTTCTCTGGCCACAGCCTCTCGGCTCTGCTGCCCAGGTGGAAGGATCTGTCTAAAACGGTTCATTTCCTAGCTTGAAAACTTCTGCTGACTTCCAACATCACCCCTCTCCGGGTAAGCCCGATGCCTCAGCTCAGGGCCTCATGTCACGTGGCATTCTCCTGGCGGCTCCTCAGCCTTCCCGGCCATGCCCGGATCGGTGCTCCAGGAGGACTGCACATGTACTTTGTGAAGGGCCTATCCCAATGTGCTGTGGACAGAAGTCCGCCCTGCTGGATGTGGGCTCCAGAGCAGGACCTGAATTTAGTCAGCTGGGTCTCTGCAACCCAGCAGGGCCTGGCACACTGTAGGTCTTGATGTGGTGTTTAGGAGCGCTTGGCTCGTCGCAGGCGGGCCCCTTGTGTGTAGGGCATTGAGTGAGGGCCCTTGTTCTCTGCCAGAGCAAACACTCATCTGCCTGCCCAAGTGGGTGGCAGCAGCCTGGGCTGCTTCTGGCACTACCCCTACCCTGCCGTTCACCCACTCTGGCCCCAGCTTCTTGGTGGTATTCCAGGGTGGGGGATCCCAGAGGGAGGGATGAGATCATGCACAGCAAGGTCTTCGAGATCCTCAGAGAAAGGCGCCTCTATAAATGCAGCTGTGATTAACCCTGTTGGAACCCATTTGGTGTTTTAATTGCCCCGCCAACGGCCTGACTGAGCACCCACAGCTGAGTTCCCAGGGTTGGGAGCTGACAAGGCTGGGTGGGGCAAAGAGGGGCCAAGGTGGGGTGGGCGTCCCCTTCCGAGGCACACAGCAGCCATGACGTGTGGGGTGCAAGGCTGTGTTGACCTCCTCAGCCTCTCTGCAGCCTTCTTGTCTGTCATATGCGCCTGAAGGTACCCTGACTACAACCCAGTCCCCAGAGATAGCCTGTGTTCTGTCTCCTGTCCTTAGCTTCCTGAGGGCAGAAAAAGGAGGCGTTTACTCCAACCCATACACGAACCCACAGGGAACCCAGGTCTAGTGATAGAACAATGCTAGGTGATTGGGTTCCCCACCCTGCCTTCTGGGAGCTGAGCCTGTAGGGTGATGAAGCACATAAGACGCCAGGACCCTGGTCAGGACTGTGAGAAGCAGAGATCAGGGCTCAAGGGCGTTGAGTGGGGAATGGTAGTGCGGGCCAGGGGCATGGGGTGGTTTAGGGGCAGGAAGACCGTATGGTGTAGATGGGCTGTGGCCCAGATCTGAGCTGCATCGGCAGAGCTGGGGAACTAGCAGTGGGTAGGAGAGATAGAAGTGCTCAGTCTGTTCAGGTAAGAGGGTTGCTAGTGAATTAGCCCCTTCTTGCTCCTGGGTTTGGAACACAAAAGCCTTCTCAAACAGGGCCCCACTAACAGCCTGCTGAACATGGAATTCTTCCAGCACTCACTCACTTCAGCTTTGAGACGGTGATCCAGGGCGTCAGGCTTTCTTTGGGAAGAAAGAGATGAGCGTCCTTCCCCAGAGCAGTACCCAAGCCCATTGGAGGCCTCGGACTCACAGCCCCTTAGGGAAGGCTGGGGCTGAGGCAAGGGAGGCTGCTGGTCAAACTAGGGTCTTTAACCCACACCCCCTCAACCACGAGTTGGGGGATAATTCCTTTCTTCCTTTCATCCCAGAAAGGAAAACAAGGCTGGCGACTTGGTATAATTATGCCTTTTACACCCCGCACATGCCCCTTGTCCAACTCTGGTCTGAAAGGTGGCACAGCAAAGCTACACTGACGAGCAGCTGCTTGGCCACACGGCAAAGTGGCACTGGGTTACCATCCAACGCATAGGACAGTACCCGTGAGTCCAGACGGATATAAATGTAGGACTAAGAAATGAGGAAGAATTCCAAATAATCTATACAGATATTCTGTCCTTAGAGAGGGTGGAACATAACTCCTTGTTTGTTAAGTGTGGGCTGCACCTAGTGACTTCCTTCCAAAGAGGACAGCATGAAGAGGGAGAAGAAGCACATTTACCATGGAGAAACCTGACAGATGCTACTTCAGCCTAGGTCATCAAGGTCAACATCAACCCTTGGTGTGTGACGAGAATATACCTTCCTCGGTGGCCTTCCTCGGCAAAACACATAACCCCGGTCTCATCTTTCTTTAAGGAGACAGATTCCAATAGAGGGCATTCTGGAACATGCCTGACCCGTACTCTTTGCAGCTATCAGAGTCGTGAAAAACGAGGAAAGCCTGAGGAAATGCCAGAGCCAAGAGGAGCCTAAGGAGGCAGGGCAACTAAATAGAATGTGGGGTCCTGGAACAGAAAAAGGACGACAGGGAGACTGTATACATCTGAATAAAGCATGAAGTTCGGTTCATAGTAATGTGCCAACACTGGCTGGTTAGTTGCAAGCAGTGTGCATCCTAGTATAAGAGGCTAATGACAGAGGAAACTGGGTGTGGGGTATATAGGAACTCCCTGGATTATACTGCAATAATTCTGTAAATCTAAAACTGTCTAAAAGGAAAGTTTATGAAGAGAGAGAGAGAGAAGGAAAACGAGCAGCTTGGCTCTGCCCCAGCCAAAGCACCACCGGCAAGACAGATGGACAAGGAGCAGGGGTGGGTGGAAAGGAGAGCAGGAGGCGAGTGAAGTAGGCAGCTGCTTTATTTCCGAACAAGATGCCGCAGCGCCAGCCCCGCCCCCGCACCTGGGAACCTGAGCACAGGTGAGCTGGGCAGCTGCAGGCCTCTCGAGACAAAGCAGAGGGAAGTCTGAGAGTGTTCCTCCCCTGACCAGAGGGACAGGTCGCCACGGCTGTGGTGTGACTCCTCAGCTGTCCAAGGAATAGGGAGTAAAGGGATCGGGGTCCTCTAAAGTCACGGGGAGGCCGGAGGGGGACACACCTTCCCTGTTGGCAGGAGGAAAAGGAACAACAGCTGCATCCAAGGGCTTGGAGGACAGTAGAGCAGAAGGACCATCCTTGGGCTGAGTTCTGGAATGCCAAAAGAAGACCCAAGGTGAGAGCAGTGCAGAATCGGAGGGTCGAGGGCGTTCCTAGGGAAGGCATCCAGGGTAGGGGCAGCCATAGTCCTGAGCTTTGTTTATTCTCCCATCATGCTGGGCTTCCTCTCTCCCTGGGACTCAATCAGACACAACCAGAGCCTTGCCTGGTTGGCAAGGAGGCTGGCTGCTCACGGTGGGGGCCTCGTCGTGGGGCAGTCCCAGCTGCTGGTCCCACAGAAGAAGTCCTCAGGGAGCTCACTCAGGAGTCCATCCAGGTCATCTGCAGGGGCACGTGGAGAGGGTAGACAGAACTAGTGACAACGTTAGGGTTCCACAGGACTCAGATCCAGAGCTCCTGCCTTTCAGGGGGGGCTGGACCTGGCTGCACAGTTGGGGAGGTAGCTCCCCCTGGGCAGTGGTGACTGGGCTAACAGGCCTGACGCTGGCCTGACTCCCATCTCCCCTCTGATTCCCCCACACGCACATACCACAGGAGACAGGGACAAAATGCCTGGGCCTTCCTGTCAAGAAAGACACTCCCCTTGGCCTTGGTGATACCCCTCTTTCCATCCAGAGGCATAGCGCTTGAGCAGATAGGCTTCAGAGGTCCACCAGTGCAACGTGCTCATTGGACAGAGGAAGACAAAAGGCCGGGAAAAGCCATGAGACACATTCAGAATCACG